ACACACCCTTGATAAGCATTAGTGCAGGTCTCGGGCTCCCCGAAACGTCATTGGTGATCGCAGTGCATTTCTGAGGAGGGGGATCCCCATTAATCCACTACTTAATTCTAACTGGTTATCATAGCAACAACATTTTTTTACCTCTTGTACCCATGAATGTTAGCGCTTTGTGAGCTTTATATTATTTATTTTTATTTTATATATTTTTTTTTTTTTTTTGCCGTTTAATATTACAATAACTAAATATATTTTACAATTTTTTACATTAGTAACAACAGGCAGGGGCGGACTGGCCAAATTATTATGATGTGGAAAAATATTTTTAACGGCCCTGTAGGCCAACGAAAAATGAGGAAAAGCAGCAAAGAATATTTGAAGAATATAAAATTCAATAAAATTTATTGAATTTTACATTTTTATGAGATTATGAAAACGGCCCATGTGGAATAGTCCACATCTTCCACATGGCCAGTCCGCCCCTGACAACAGGACTTCTAGAAGATCATGAGGATCTTGTCATGAAGCCCTTTACAATATATGGTTAACTTTTAATAAAAATACAATGTCTGTAGTGAAATAATAATACACCTCTATGCAAAAATATTTAAAAACCAAGATAAAATGTTAAAAAGTCAAGATAAATTTTTAAACCAAATAATATACAAAATAAAACAACAACAAAAACAAAACAAAAAAAAAAAGGCAATTAAAAATAAATCAAGATATTTTCAATTAAAAATATAATTTTTTTAAGTTTCTGTTTGATTGAAGCAAAAGTCATTTGAGTTGAAAAATCAAAATTTGGTAAGACTATTTTGTTCCAGAGATAAGGACCTCGGTAAGAAACAAAAAACTGGTCTTTGCTTTTACGACAAAAAGGGGCAATAAGACTGTTATTAATTCGAAAATTATATTTGTTTTTAGGTTTCATACAATAAAAATTTTGTAATACATTTGGCGACAAATTTTCTCTACATTTAATCATGAAACATAAAATATTAAAGACAAAGATATTATATAGTTGTTACATTCACGATATTTAAATATATAGTTGATATATAGATAGTTATCAGTTTCCAATTTTTTACAGTGTTTAGTACATAAATAATACCAGATTTATAAACATATTATTTTAAAATCCATATATATACTATATAGTATGATGGTTTGCGCGCTGCATCAAAAAATGAAGATTCGAACAGTTCGAACATTGTAGGATGCGTATATTTTGTTTTATACTTTGTCAGGTCTGCGTAACTGGACAGCTCCATTGGTCACTTTTTGCGGAAACAATTAAAAATATAGTTTGATGAGAAAGTGCTACACCATTCACTTCCATGCTAAAAGTAAAGACGTATTTCTAATCATTCATCTATATTGAATTTCAATTTGTAAACATTCTCTTTGAACAAGTTGACTAATTCAGTATTTATGTCGTTTAAAGGTAGCGTATTCCATACATTAACAATGCAATCAGTGAACATATTGAATCTTCCTTTGCAGTTTTTTACCCTTTGATGTTCAAGTCGATGTTCCTTTGGATGTTCTTTGATGTTCATTTGGATATCAATAACGCGTAGACTTGAGGGTTTTCAAAAATGATTTGATCAATACATTTTAAAAGTTTAAACTGTTGAAACAGGTCACCTCGAACTCTCCTTTCTTTAAGTGCTTGGCAAGTGCTTTATTTCCGTGATTGTTTTAGTGGCTTTATTCTGTACTTGCTCTAGAATAGTTATGTCTTTTTCCTTGTGTGGTGACCAAGCCTGGATAGCAATTGGGGTCTCATAAAGGTTTTGTAGAGTACTTTCTACAAAAAAATCCACAGTTTCTAAACATTTTCTTTGGTCTACCAAGTTTACTGTCAGCTTTTGCCGTTACTGGTTCGACTTGATAGCTTACATAAAAATTGTCTGAAAAAAGTACTCTCAGATGATGCTTGTGTTTAAAGACGTCCACTTGAATTCTGTTTCTACTCAAGTAAAGCATCGAATAATTTTGAATATTATAGACTAATAATATAGACTTTTTAAGTAATTTCGATCCCAATCATTATAAAATTATTGAAAATGTTACTGAAAAATCGAAAAAACATCGCTAGGAAATAAAGGAACATTTGAAAAAAGTTTAAAAAACTATAAAAAAAGTCAAACAAACAGATAGAATAAAAACACAGTTAAACCTGGGATTTGAAACTTAACAGTTAGATACCCATGCAACAAATCTCCTGAATATTGGACCAAGTTTTGCACCCTACATATTTTGATATGGAGTCATAAAAGTTCACAAATCAGAAAATACTTATTCAATGTGGCTAATTATTTCTACCATCGGTACGCTGAAAAATAAACTGTTAGATTATCTTTTAAAAACGAAACGACCATTTTTAAACAAAAACAAAACAAATAAAAAGTTCCTTCTTGTATGTCAACGGTTATTGATTTACATTTCACACTAGCGATTATTGATTTACGTCACGGCCAAACTCCGCCTTAACTAATGTTACGTTTTTATACAAAACAAGATCTATACTGGATTCGGGCTATATAGGATTATTTTTATTGGTCGTAGAAGCCGAAGTGCTTTACAACATATAAAAACATTATTGCTGATATTTGACAAATTTTACGGAACACTTACAGAAGATACATGGATGACAGTCATGCTAGATTCAGCTAGAAAAAAACATAAATTTCAGGAATTATTTTTGTATATTTTCAAGTAGTTTTTCTTGAATTCTAGACGAACATCTTCTGATAAATTGTTTCTATTCAAAAAACATATTTTCAATAGGATTTAAAAAGGGAGAATATAGAGGTAAAAACATCAAATGATGCCTTACACGTACTATTTCATCTTGAACAATAGCTGCCTTATGAAAACTAACATTGTCTAAAATTAATATAGCTTTACCAATTTCATTAACAGCTAATTGCACTAATACTAGACAAATAAAATATAACAAATTTTCTGTATTAAATGCTCTTGCTTCATATTTCTAAATTCCATTTTTTTTTCATTGCGCAACAGACAAAAATATTTTTTCAAGAATTAGTTATTGTTGCCTAAGTACACTAATAGAGAGATCAAAATATGCGTGTGGTCATAACTTTGTGCCACCACTGTAGCTCTTACTTTAATAACGAATTTCTTTTCTCTGAAATATTGTGAACACGTTTGAAAGTATAACTAAAACTATCAATGCATTTTGCTATTTTAGAATGACTGAAATAGATTTTTGATTTAAAAATCTTTGTTTAATTCCCTTAAGACACGATCATCATCAATCCTATTTTTGATCCTTAAATTTCTTTGTTTATTTTTTGTTTGTAGTACCGCCTTTTAATTGCCGTTCTATCGGCAAACCATTTTTATATTTTTAAATAATTGTGGTTTGTTTAAATCCAAGAATATATGCAAATTCTGATAGTGAATTTCCATTTAAGTAAGATTCAATTATCCTTGAACGGTTTTCATTGTCGGTTGTTTAGGTCGGCTTGGGTGTTTATAAATATTGAAAATGATATTTAAGCTTTTAGGATGTGAAAATCCTCTTTAAATATTGTTGAATTAAAAAAATAGCCACATTAATTATTTTATTATCTCGATTAAATACAACCCATTATTATTTAACAAAATTTTTTTATCATAAATATGATGAAAATCATAAATATGAAAATTCTAATTTAAAATAGTATTTTAAAATTCTAATTTAAAATAGTTAAATTGTCGAAATGTGATGCAAGTGTTGAAATTAAATGCAACAGTGTCGAAGTGAGGTGAGAAACCCTGTATAGTATACCTTTTGGAATATCTAATTACGAATAAAAACGCACCAACTACTAACGAACAATATACGCAATTACGAAACCCACAATTCACGCGCAATTTCAAAACGATCATTTCATGTATATAGGTATACATTAATAAAAATTGCTGTTTTTTTTCTTTAAAAATATTGAACTTAAAAGACAATACTATGAAAATATTCTACTACTCAGTAGGCATAACATATGTATATGTAGATTTCTAATATGCATTAAAATGTTTTAATACGTGTGTTATACTTTTTAAACACGCCTTGTGCCCACCAGGTTTGTATTATGAACAACCTAACATAAGCCACTCTCTACCGCCACTAATATTTAACAACCTAGCATAAACCACTCACTACAGCTACTGATATTTAACAAACTAACATACGCCACTCGTTACCGCCAGATTATAATTAATTGCTTAATCGTTACCGCCAGATTAGAATTGCTTATTAAATTATTAAACATTAGTGGAGGTAAAGAGTGGCGTATGTTATGTTATTAAATAATAGTGGGGTAACGATTGGCCTAGATTTTTAAACATTAGTGGTGGTAACGAGTGGCGTATGTTAGGTTGTTAAATATTAGTAGAGGAGGCGACTCGTTACCTCTACTAATATTTACCTCTTTAATTAATAACCTCTAAGGCGTATACACCACTCGTTACCTCTATTAATATTTAACAATCTAACATACGCCACTCGTTACCCTCACTAATATTTAACAACCTAACATACGCCACTCTTTATCGCCACTAATATTTAACAATTTAATAAGCAATTAATTCTAATCAAAAAACAGTTGAACTATGTATTATCAACAACTCAGCAAAAGCCACACGTCAGTCCTTACCACCACCAATAAAATTTAACAACAGACAATTAATTCTAATCAAAGCTATTTATAATCAAGAAACAATTCTACTATGTATTATGAACAACATAACATATGACACTTGTTACCTCTACTAATATTTAACAAACTAACATACGCCGCTCGTTACCACCACTAATGTTTAAAAATCTAACATAGGCCAATCGTTACCGTCACTAATATTTAACAACGCCATTCTAACATTATCTAACATACGCCCCACTAATATCTAACAACGCCATTCTAACAATATCTAACATACGCCACTCTTTACCTCCACTAATATTTAATAATTTAATAAGCAATTAAATCTAATCAAAAAGCAATTAGGTCTAATCAAGAAAAAGAAAAGGAAAAAAGAATATATAATTCTATATATAAAACAGAATATATATTATTTCTGTATAAAAACATTTTAATAAACATATAAAAACAGTTTAGGAAACCAATAAACTTTATAAAATATAAAACATAATACTAACCCAGTAGGCACGAGACGTAAAAAATATATCTTTTAAGGGTCTTTTGAACGTTTGAAAGACGTCTTTTTTAAACCCGGGCCCACTGGGAAATTTTTAAAAATGTTGATTAAAAAAAAAATATTAGCAGGCGATTATTTTACGTCCCGGTGCATAAGGTACCAACCGCCTCCAACTAAGACCGATTGTCACTATAGTTGCAAATATTATAATTATAGTAGATGTTGCCGACCATCGCAAACCAAAATGTTTATATATCGCTGTAATATACAAAGGACCTGCAACTCGAGCAAGAGATCCTATTCCTGTTAACCAAGCCATATAACGGCCCTAAAAAAAATTAAACCAAAACTTTAACAAATGCTAATATTGTTGTCGTCAATCTGAAAAACATTGTTGGTGTCAATCTGAAAAAGATTGTTGCAGTCAATCTGAAAAACGTTGTTGCATTCACTCTAAAAAAGCAATGCTGCAGTCAATCTGGAATTATGTAATCCATTAAATTTTTTTCTTAAAAATTTTCTGAAACATAAAATATTTTTAGTGATTTTAATGATAAACATTCATTTTCTTATCCAAATATTTTAAAGAAAGTTTTTTTTAACTTGAATTCTATTTTTCTTAAAAAAAAAAAAAAAAAAAAAAATTTGGTACATACATTGAACATACATATACATTAGGGTACATCATACTTTTCAAATTTTTGATTTTGAATTTGGCGGATGATTTTAATGGTGCCACTATATGTAAAAATGAACTTCCAAAAAAAAATAATTAAAAAAAATAATTTTTACCTAGGTGGGATTGCAGTTTTAGAAAAGGTGTTTATTTATGCATAAATGCAAGGGGGGTTTAAAATTTTAAAATTATTGAAATATGAAACTATTTAGATTTTTTTTATATAGGGGAGAGTGGTACTGAATGGACCACAAAATTCAACTTTTTTGTAAAAATAATTTTTTCCCATATTGTCAACAACTATGGCGGATATATTAATTCAGAAGTCAAAATTAATACCTTTACTAACAATCCTTAAAAGTTGTAAACCATTGCGCAAACAGAACATAGGCAAAATGTGCGATAAATGTGACCCGTACCAAATTATTTAGTGGTCCATTCAGTACTGTTCATTGTACTGAATGGACCAACCCTTGTACTGAATGGACCACAAAAAAAGTTTTTTTTTTTATAAAAAAGATCAATATCTCTATCGCTAATAACTATAGCCGATATATTAATTCGGGAGACAAGATTAATATTTTAACTAATTATCCTTGTATATTGTATATTATAATAAAAGTTGTAAACAATTGCGCATAACAAGTTACATTATGCAAAGCAATTAAGGTGATAAATGGAGTTTAAAAACAAGAAAGAAGTATGTTGAGACATTGATATTTCTGAATTAATTAATACAACTTTAGACCGAAGTCTCAATCAGATAATCAAATTACAATAGTCACAAACATATTGGCTGGCATTATCTGCACTTGTGCAAGCTTTATGTGCCCAGCTCGCACACTGTCTGCAACGGTACCACACTTCGTTGTCACGACCCATTTCTTCACATATAGCACACAAATCGTAATTTAATGTAATACCTCCACAAAAATTTAAACTATCTTTGACACCATTATCATTTCTTTCAACAAGAATATCATCAGCCTCATCATTATTATATGTCATTAATGGAAACTTTAGAGTTTTTGAGTTGCTTGATTTCTTTCTTGATTTCCTTTGACGTTTATTTTTAGCATCTTTTTGTTTTTCAGAAAAGTTTTGTTTTTTTAAATTTTGCTGAAGTTGTTGATTTCGAAGAGCCTCTTTAATTGGAGTATCAGTTAGAATCGAAGAGGAGAGCTTTTTGCGAGCACCTTTGGTTTTTTCTAAACGAGCTTTTGCAGAAGGATAAGGGCGTATACTTTCCACATTCAGGGTATTGCTAACATTTTTGTTGACTTTAACATTTCTATTTATTTCTACTGAAACTGGATAGATGTTGAGTGCTTCAGGATTAGGTCTAATAACTTCTACTGAAACTGGATTGATATTGAGTGCTTCAGGATTAGGTCTATCAATTTCAACTGAAACTGGGTTGATGTTAAGTGCTTCAGGATTAGGTCTAATAATTTCTAATGACACTGGATTGATGTTGAGTGTTTCAGGATTGGGTCTATTTGTAACCTGAGATAAAAAAAAATCCTCATCCTTCCACCGATCAGGTTGAAAAGGACTTATTCCAGATACTGAAAAACCACTAATGATGTTAACTGGCATTGATACTTTTGCCCAAGCCTTTCCAGAAATTTCTGCAATGTCATAGATTTTCCTGGATACCAACCAACTATCAATTTCACGATTATAATGACGTTTGAAAGGTCCATACACTGTTATATCTAACGGTTGCAGTTTGTGTGATGTATGGGGTGGGATTGTTAAAACAATTACACCATTATCTGATGCTAAGTCAATGAAGTTAATTGACAAATGAGACTCATGATTATCTAGTATCAACAGCACAGGGTTTGTCTTAGATGGTCGAACACTTTTTATAAAATGATTAAACCACTCCATAAAGGTTGATTCCACCATCCACCCAGATTTGTTGGCAGTGCCAACAGAACCAGGAATTGAATTTCGCAGAAAAAAATCTTTAAAATGAACACGTGGAAATATGTAGAATGGTGTTATTGAGGATCCACTTGCATTTACTGCATTGCACATTGTTACCAAGATACCTCGTTCTGCACTTGTAACAGAAGCAACTTGCCTCTCTCCTCTCTTGGCTAAAACATGCTCTGGCACTTGTACAGTAGTAACACCAGTCTCATCAACGTTCCATATATCATTTGGTGAAAACTTGTATTTAATCAAAAGACTTTGCAGATTATTATAAAATAGATTTACATTATACTTGTTGAATGCTGACATTCGACCAATTGATGTTGCCTCTGGTTTTCTTATAACAAGTTCTGGATGACGACTTAAAAAAGCTCTAAACCAATCTACACCTGCATGTTTATTTGTTTCCCAAGGTTTAGCAGAACCTCGACGAGAATGTGGACACTTCTTCTCAAGTTTGAGAGCATATTCAAATGTTAGTGCTCTTAGCTTGATAGGACTTAACCCATATCCCATTTTTGCAGAAACTAAACAATATTGAACCAGCTCTTGTTCTTTTGTTACTGAAAAAATTTTCATAGAACTGTTACTATATGGAACACATTGCAATTTATTCAATCCATTTTGAGATAGTCGAGCTTCTTTTATTCGCCTCTTAAGAGTTGAACGTTTGACTCTCAACAGCTTTTCTTTCAGATAGAGTTTTATTTAAAACATTTTCAACTGCTTGGATCATATTATTGGGATCCCAATCACCTTTTAGTGCTGTTGCTTTTCGATGTCTCATAATACTTCTGAAATAAATAAAACTTGTTTATAACCATATTATAAAAAAAAATTATCGATGCTATTTTATATATATATATATATATATATATATATATATATATATATATATATATATATATATATATATATATATATATATATATATATATATATATATATATATATACATACATACATATATATATATATATATATATATATATATATATATATATATATATATATATATATATATATATATATATTTAATTATCTAAACACACACACACGCGCACATATAACATGTATAAAAACTAAATTATATAAAAGCTTGAATGTAGAATAATTTTTTATTATGATCAACAAGCTTTAGTAATTTAAATATAACAATTAATTTACGAAATTTTATTCTTGGTTTTATTAGATATTACTTGATTTTTTGTATTTTGAAAATTACTGACCATGGTAATTGTCATTGTTTTTAAAAACGTATAAATAACATTTCAGATATATTATATAATATCTAGCATATAGCTTATCTAGCATATTATATGCCATATAACATATCTAGCATATAACTTTTATTATATATAGTATATATAACAAATGTTATATGCTAGATGTTATTAAAAGTAATACCACCTTATTTATATATCGTAATAATATTATGACATTCAGTTATTGAAATAATGAAACAAACTACAAATTAATAATTATTAACCTAATATGTAAGCTATTAGTCTGCTTAACTTAATATTATATTATCTGCTTACCTTAATATTATATTGAATAATGAATAATTGAACTTGCGCCCTCAAGTCTTCGTTAACTAGATATTTTGGTTTATTTCCTAACTCACATCTCCTTAGTTCATTTAGATGAAAAAACTTGTGTATTTTGTTTTAGTAAGTAAAATACTGAAGCGCGATAAATAACTTCGCAGAAAAATGAACCGGTCCATTCAGTACAATCAATGGTGGTTCATCCAGTACACTTATCAAAATGTACATGTTACCCATATAATCACAGCAATCAGTAAATCATATAACATTCATTCTAATGTTATACAAATTAAAAAATATGTATCTATAATATTATTATTAACCATAGTTAACTTTACCTTAAAAATCTAGTGTAAATTGAAACAAATTGAAAAGATAAAAATTTACTTTTTACTCGAAAAAAACAAAAAATGCAAATATTAATGCATTATTACGAATAACGTTAAACCAAAAATATCAAAGAAACTTTGAGTATACAAAAATTATATGCAATTAAAAAAAATCAATTAACAGCTTGTTAAGTTTTTATTTTTCTAATGGTCCATTCAGTACAAGGTCCATTCAGTACCACTCTCCCCTATTACCATATGCTGTGAAACGTGAATAATTTTTTTTTCTAAAAAAAATAAATTTTCGCGGGGAAAAAGGCCTTATAAGATTGAAAAAAAAAAGTTAAAATATAAAATATTATGTTAAATTTTTTAAATAATAAGGACATCCACTGGAATTTTTTCATAAGAAAATTTCAGACTTTATTTTTATGAATGACGTCTTTATAATTCAGACAAAATGACTATAATTAAATGTCTTAATAATGATTTTGTTATTTTACTTGGCGGTTGAATTGTAAGTGATTTCAGACTATTACAACTATTGTAATTATGTTTTTATGAGTTTATCTTTTACGAGTTTTATGAGTTTACTTTGTAATTATATTTTTATGAGTTTTTCGTGGTTTAAAACTGTATAAAAAGAGTTCTTGTTTTTATTTGCAATCATATAAATGAAAATTCGAATAATTATATTAAATTAACTATGACTACTTCAATTAACACAAGACTCTCTATGGAAACAAATTTATCAACATATTTAGGCAGAAGTAAGGATCTTATTCTGTCAGAAGTGCCAACTTTAAGAGATATTTTGAGAAAAGGTCTG